TCTCAGATATGACACACACAAATTTAGTTTTGTTTTTTTTTTTTTTAAATAAAAGTTAGAGGAACCTCTGTGAGTCTCACAAGGATAATGTACTGAGTAAGAGCTGTAAAGGGAGTGTAGAGAAAACCTAAACCATGAAACATTTTATATAAGTAGAGTGAATTTCTAAAATGTGCCTTCTTATACTTAATCCTATAACAGAGAAAGTCTGACAGTAGAGTGTCCCCTAATTCTGTAACAACACAGACTAACAACTTACTAGGTATCCTGGCTAGAACTACTTACTCCTTCTCAAGTAACTTCCTTTTCTCCTTTCTTTCCCCACTATAAATTTTAAAGGTATATCCAAAATTCAAGCCATTTTGCCACTATTTTATAAATCTATAGCACAGATCAACCACATCTGATAAACATCTCATTCTCCCTCATCTATTTAAGACAGGTTATATTGAGCAAAGATACAGTCCATGAGTTAACACTGGTTTACTGAAGTGATAAGATGAGAGGGAGAGAAGAACTGTGAGCAGAAATCTCCCAGGTGATTTTAATTAGCAACCTGCTAATTGCTCCTCAAGTTAATTGATGGTGTTGGCACATTTGAAACTATGGGTCACAAGCTTGGCTACCAAGTAAGCCCACCTGTGGAACTTCAAAATTCACTCTTTCCTAGGTCCCACTCCCAGAGATGCTGATACAGTTAACCTGCGGTGTGGTCTGAGCTTATAGATCTAAAATTTCATCAGGTGATAATAAGCAGCCAGGATTCAAAACTACTGGTTGGTGGAGGGGTGAGGATCTGATATGCAAAAAGAATGGGAAATAACAGAATGAACTAAGTATCCCAATCATGAACTATGACAATTATCTAGGCTCCTTATGTGTCATTCCTGCTGTGCAGATACAAATAAAAAGCTTTAATAACTTTTTATTAAAAAAAGATTTATTTATTTATTTGAAAGTCAGAGTTACACAGAGAGAGAAGGAGAGGCAGAGAGAGAGAGAGATGCCCTCAATCCACTGGTTCACTCCACAGTTGACTGCAATGACCGGAACTATGCTGATCCGAAGACAGGAGCTTCCTCTGGGTCTCCCACGTGGGTGCAGAGGCCCAAGGACCTGGGTCATCTTCCGCTGCTTTCCCAGGTCATAGCAGAGAGCTGGATTGGAAGAAGTAGGGCAGCTAGGACTCGAACCGACGCCCATATGGAATGCTGGAACTGCAGGTGCCAGCCCCTTAATACTTTTCACCACAACTGTTTTTTATTTTGGATTATAGTGTTTATTAGGGTAATACAGCTCCCTAGACTTCAGTCTGGGACATGTCAGCTTCCTTGGAAAACTTCCCCATTACCACTTCAAAAAACTACAAAATGTTTTTTATTTTTTTAAATTGGTCAAATGAGAAAATGTTTTGACAGAAGTAATTTTGGTTTTAGATTTGTCTTTAAAAAATAGAATGCTGAGGCCAGTGCTGTGGCGTAGTGGGAGAAGCCACTGCCTGCGGTGCCAGCATCCCATATGGGCTCCGGTTCAAATCCTGGCTGCTCCACTTCCGATCCAGCTCTTTTCTATGGCCTGGGAAAATAGTAGAAGATGGCCCAAGTGCTTGGGACCCTGCACCCATGTGGGAGACCTGGAGGAAGCTCCTGGCTTCGGATCGGCACAGCACACTGGCCATAGCAGCATTTGGGGGGTGAACCAATGGAAAAAGGAAGACCTTTCTCTAACTCTGCCTGTCCAAAAAAAAAAAAAAAAAAAAAAAAAAAAAGTAAAATCTGGTTGTACTTACCAGATGTATGACATCAGGCAAATTATCCAATTTTTGCCCCTATCTCTGATGGCTTCTACTTTTGGGGTTATGGTGATGATAACAGCTCTTAATATTATACAATTTTCTTTAACACTACTTCAAAGCCAAATACTTAGCACATTTGACTGCGTGAACATGGGTGTACAAAATCAAAAAGCTTCCAGACATGTTTTAGTGTGAGTCCCTTGTTTTACAAAAGAGGACACAGAGGCCAGATATTTTCTCAAAGCCACGAAACAACCATGTGGCAGAACCTGAATTCTAACCTGTTTCTTGACTCCAAGTTCAGCACTGTCTTTCCAGCATCCTTGGAAAATCTTTTCTTCCTACCTCAACAATCATTCACATCTCTTTCAATACTTTTTAATCTGAATTCAACTAATTAACAGAACCCCTTCCCCACCCAACGTCAAAAGTGACTTTTCCACCCTTTTAGAGCTTATCAAGTGTTGTTTGGCTTTTTGTTTAGGTCACATTGTTGGATGGCTAACTAGATAGCACAATAGCTAGAGGACAAGTCAGAAAACATGAAACATACAGCTAGCCATGAAGGCCCAGAATAGTAACTGACGTTTCACAATAGCCTTAAGAATAAGATTGAGTGATGGTCACTACACATTGTTTCCTAAGACAGGATAACAGATTAATTCCGAAATACTGGAAAGCTTAGATGCAACTGAAAATTGATGCATTAGACTAAAGAGATGTGACAACTACATGCAGTGTGGTGTCCTATAATAAAAAGAGATATTAGTGGAAAAAAAACTGGTAAAACCTGAACAAAGTTCAGAGTTTAGTTAATAGTAATTTCTGAATACTAGCTTCCTAATTTTGACAAATGTGGCAGAAGGCTTCACAACCACAAGCATTCTGTCATGTAGAGAACAGGCATCACGGTAATGTACAAAGTCAACTGGGGTCTGAGAGATACCAGGCCTCCCCGATGGCCCTGAGCTCTGGGAGAGTAGGGATGAGCTCTCCTAACACTCGAGTGCTCTCCCTAATCACACTGCTCTTGCCAATGACTTGGCTGTCATTCAGTTCACTGAGGAAAAACACTGGCCATAAATATAATCTGTCTGACAAAACCTTATTGCAAGTAATGCTGTTAAGAATCCTTAAGTTACACAGCATTCATGGAAAGCCCTGACATCCATCTTAACCATCAATGTGGAGCTGTACTGATCATCTATATAAACTGTTCAATGTTCCTATGAAGAGAGGTAAAGGGCTATTTGAGGTCTAAAATCTACTTTAAAAAAGAAAAAAAAAATAAAAGCCAGTGAGTCTTTGAAGTCTTGTCCTTCATCATATTTCTTTAGAGCAAAGAAAACATATTGAAGATTCCAGAGGAACCTTAGAGAGTACTTAAGAAAATTCAAGTCTTCTGCTCTTCAACATTAAAGACTATCTCATTTACTACAGTCTAACTCTTTTGTTCAATCTAAAATGACTGTATAAACCTCTTCCCAAAACTGTTTTATTAAAATGACATTTTAAACTATGATTATTTTGAATAGCATAGATACTAAAAATGAGTTCCTCTGTCATCATAATAAATGGTTTTTCAATACTATTAACCTACAATCCACCTGAAAGCTCTGATGATTATCCACACTTACCCTTTATATTACACCTTACACTAAACAGAAATTACATTTTGTTCTATACTTAAAGGTTTGGTTGTCACAGCAGTTTTATATATCCCAAAACAGCCAATATAACATTTTCCACATAATAGATATTCAATAAGTGTTTGCTGAGTAAATGTCAAGCATGATAAAAACGCATCATGGCACAAAAATGGTAATTTAAAAAAACTTTCCTTTCCACGAATATTTCTTGCAGGCATATCATAAGCTGGGCACTGTAGCTGGTGGAAAGACAAAAGGAATAAGATGCCATCTAACTGAATTTACAGATGTGAGAATGGCTACATGCTATAGTGTAAACATGTGCAGAAATGATGACAGTCCCATAAAAGGATAAAGGAGACATGGTTGCTTACTTGGGTGTACCAGAAAGCTCTACCAACGTTTGAGTATAAGGCAATCCTCCAGTTTCTCAAAGAAGATACAAAAAAACCTTTTCTACATTTAAGTATACAAATTTTTAGGGTTATCAAGGAAATAGATCTAAAAGTACTTATCAGTTTAGCGGCCAGAGCTGTGGTACAGTAGGCTTAGCCTGCAGCACTAGTGTTCCATAAGGGCACCAGTCCCTGTAACAGCTGTTCCTCTTCAGAGCCAGTTCTTTGCTAATGGCCGGGGAAAGCAATGGAAGACAGCCCAAGTGTTTGGGCCAAAACACCCATGGGAGAGACTGGGAGGAAGCTCCTGGCTCTGGACTGGCCCAGCTGTGGTTGTTGTGGCCATTTGGGGAGTGAACCTGAGGACAGAAGATCTTTTCTAGCTGTCTTTCCCTCTCTGTGTCTGTAACTCTACCACTCAAATAAAATCTTTAAAAAAAAAAAAAAAAAGAAAAGAAAAAAAAGGTTGTGAGGGTATGTGTAAGGGGGGTGGTATCAATAGTTCACTTAATAGATGGAAATAATGCAATTTGTTTATCAATTCACCCAGTTAACAGACACTGGTTTGTTTTCAGTTGCTGGCTATTATGACCACAACTGTTCTAAATATTTGAGTATATTTTTGTGTGAACATATTTTTCATTTCTCCTCGTGTAAAGGCCTAAAAATGTTATTGCTGGATATGGATATATTTGTTCTCTAAAGCTGATGATGTACTGCAAACTAATATGGCTGAAAACAATGGAAATTTATTTTTTCAGAGTTCCACAGGCTAGAAGTATTAAGCCAAGGTACTGGTATGTCATGCTCTATTGAAGCTCTAGAAGGGTCTCTAGGGAGGTATCTGTTCCATGTGCTTTCTTTAAAAAGAAAAGATTTATTTATTTGAAAGGCAGAGTTACACAGAAAGGGGGGAAAAACAGAGAGATCTTACATCCACTGGTTCACTTTCCACATGGCTGTCAACAGCTAGGGCCAGATCAAAGCCAGGAGCTTCACCCTGGTCTCCCATGTGGGTGGCAGGTGCCCAAACACCTGGGCCATCTTCCACGGCTTTTCCCAGGCCATTAGCAGGGAGCTGGATCAGAAGCAGAGCAGTCAAAATAGGACCTGGAGCACAAAAGGGATGCCTGATGCCTGCATAGCAGGTGGTGGGTTTACCTGCTACAATACTGGCCCCCTGTTCCATGTTTTTTTCCTCAGCTACTGTTGCTGCCAGTAATTCTGGGCAGGCCTTGACTTCCAGCTGCGTAACTCCCATCCCATTTTTCATTGTTGGGTGGCATTCTCCCTTTAAGTCTCTGTCTTCATGAGACAGTCTCCCCTCTTTGTCTCTTCTGAAAGAGAACACAAGTCATACCGAATAAAGAACTCTCCATTCCAATATGACCTCTGTACTGATTTCATTGGCAATGACCTTATTTCCAAAAATGGTCAAATTTTTTAAATAGTAGAGATCACACATCGTTGGGGAGATATAACTCACTCAGAACCCTGCATGACAAAGTGGTTGCCTTCTCAATAGTAACATATGATGATTTTAACTGTTCTACATCGTCCACCAAACCAAACTTAGTATGACCCAGGTTTTTTCTTTTTAGCTGTTCTGGTTTGTATGTAGTTAGAGTTCATTGCAGTTTTTTTTGTTTTTTGTTTTTTTTTTTTTGACAGGCACACCGCGCCTATCCAAAGGCAGGAGCCAGGTACGTATCCTGGTCTCCCATGGGGTGCAGGGCCCAAGCACTTGGGCCATCCTCCACTGCCTTCCAGGGCCACAGCAGAGAGCTGGCCTGGAAGAGGGGCAATCGGGAAAGAATCCAGTGCCCCGACTGGGACTAGAACCCGGTGTGCCGGCGCCACAAGGCAGAGAATTAGCCTAGTGAGCCCTCATTGCAGTTCTAATTTGCATTTTCCGATTAACTAATGACGTTAAGCATTGTTGACCTTCACATACAGTTTCACTAGTAACATGTCTGTTTAAATCTCTTGCCCATTTTGAAGCGCTTTCCTCACTATTAATATAAAATTTCTTTGTATGTTCTGGATACAAGTCTATAATCAGACACAGGCTTATAAACTGCTTCTCTGTCTTCCCTTTTCATTTTCTCAAACATGCCTTTTGTTTAGATGAAGTCCAATTTGCCAATTTTTGTCTTTTATTTCATGCTTTTTCATCCTAAGAAATCTTTGCTTAATCCTAGGGTGAAAAAACTTTCTATGTTTTATTCTATAAGTTTTATAGCTTTGTCCTATATTTCAATTTGAGCTAAGTTTTGTTTCTGATGTGAGGTAATGACCAAGTTTCAGTATTTTGCACATTAATACTGTTATTCTAGCATCTTCTGCTAAAGCCCTTTCCCTACTGAATTACCTTGGCATTGCAGTCAAGGAAGGAAGGGAATTTCATTATGCTCTTAGAGCTGTGTCTACAAATCACACTGAGTCTGCTGAAGAGCCCAGCAGAGTATTTTAGGCATGGAAAGCCAAGGCACTCTGGAAAAAAAAAAAAAAAAAAAACAAAAAACAAAAAACACCTAATTGAAAGATTTCTGTGAGTGAGATCCCAGTGGAAAGAACGGGCCATCAAAGGAGGTACCTTTCTCTGAAGGGAGGAGAGAACTTCCACTTTTACTATGACCCTGTCGGAATAAGATCAGAGTTGGCGAACTAAAAGGCTTCCATAGCCTTGGCAACTCATGACTAGAGCCTAGGGTGATTACTGACGCCATAAACAAGAGTGTCAAATTGTTAAGTCAACAACAGGAGTCACTGTGCACTTACTCCCCATGTAGGAACTCTGTCCTTAATGTGTTGTACTACGTGAATTAATGCTATAACTAGTACTCAAACAGTACTTTACACTTTGTGTTTCTGTGTGGGTGCAAACTGTTGAAATCTTTACTTAATATATATTAAACTGATCTTCTGTATATAAAGATAATTGAAAATGAATCTTGATGTGAATGGAACGGGAGATGGAGTGGGAGATGGGAGGGGTGTGGGTGGGAGGGAAGTTATGGGGGGGGGCACTGTCATCCAAAAGCTGTACTTTGGAAATTTATATTTATGAAATAAAAGTTAAAAAAACAAATTAAAATTAAAGAGTTAATCTAGCAGTGTAATAAATGAGATGAAAAAATACACAAAAATTGATAACAAATACTTGATAAATTGATTTGAATACAAGAAATGATATGGAAAATGGGAATTAAATTCCTAACTAAAGAGTATGACTGTGGAGTCCTCATAACAGTGCTAATGGAGGAGCTGGGTCAGTGAAAAAGAAAAGCATATGGATGAGTTAAAAACCAAAACAAACAAAAAAAGCCAGGAGCCCACCCAGACAAGTAGTTCTTACCCCCATTCTACTTCCTGGTTTCCCAAGGCATCAGTTCTGGAGGAATGATACAGCAGCCAGGGATCTGGAGCAGTTCTTTCTTTCCCGCGGTGGTAGAGGAAAAACAGGTTCAGCATCAGTGTGTTAACACTGGCTGTAAGTCAGGCATTGGGAGCCTCTGCAGGTCTACCCAGAGGTGGACCCATATACTTCCAAAGTGAAGAACCTATTTTGCCCTAATGGAGGAGACTTTCCTCTGTTTCCTGGTAGAGTGCTTGCGTGAGTTCTCTAGGATAGCTCATTGCAAAGTGGCATGTAGCTTTTCTCTTCCTTTCAGAGATGTTTTGACAGAAGGTACATTTTGAAGGTATCCCTTAGACATTACTGTACTCCAGCTTTCAGTCAGATTTTAGACAGATCTTAAATAATTTCATTTTTTACTTACATAGTTACAATTTTGATCAACATTAAAAGGAAGTTGATCATCTTTTACATTATTTCAGTATAGTTAAATGACAACAGACATGCAAAGTAGATTTAAAAATTCCTAATAGGCTTACTATTTACTTCTATATATCCTGCCTCTTCCTCAAGTGGTATTGTCTTCCCTCTAACGTTTACATATGTTTCCACTTTCATATTCCAGTGACAATTGGATTAATAAGTATTATTTCAATTATTCGGAAAAGAGTGGTGTGCAGGGGTGGGCTGGACCAAGCTTGTACTGACTCTTAAGAGCTGACTGTTTAATTTTTAGGAATTTTGCTGTTTGTTAAACACAGCTGTTATTAAAATTAAATTTTAAAACCTTAAAATAAATTACATACAAGAGAATACAACCTCAAAATCAATTGATGGTTTGCGTGTAGGTCTATGTCTGGGTCCTCTAGTCCATTCCACTAATCTATCTATCCATTCTTATGTCCATGCTAGTCTTAGTCTTGATTATTGTCATCTCAGAAACATGCAGTTTGAGTCCTTCTACTTTGTTTTTCATCTCCAAAATTTAGAATGTTGCCTAATGTAATCTGGTTCCCCCATCCTATTCATTTCAATTAGAAATTTGGTATTTCAGGCTGGCGCCGCGGCTTACTAGGCTAATCCTCCGCCTTGCGGCGCCGGCACACCGGGTTCTAGTCCCAGTCAGGGCACTGGATTCTGTCCTGGTTGCCCCTCTTCCAGGCCAGCTCTCTGCTGTGGCCAGGGAGTGCAGTGGAGGATGGCCCAAGTGCTTGGGCCCTGCACCCCATGGGAGACCAGGATAAGTACCTGGCTCCTGCCATTGGATCAGCGCGGTGCGCCGGCTGCAGCACGCCGGCCTCGGCGGCCATTGGAGGGTGAACCAATGGCAAAGGAAGACCTTTCTCTCTGTCTCTCTCTCTCACTGTCCACTCTGCCTGTCAAAAAAAAAAAAAAAAGAAAAAAAGAAAAGAAAAGAAAAGAAATTTGGTATTTCAAAGATAACACTCAAGAAAATCAGGATTTTACTGTTTAAAGAATGGGCTGTACTGAAACCACCTACCACATTGGAGGCTTACTTTAACATATACCTAGAGTCCAACATCACATAAAATCAATCTTGAACTCTAAGAGAGCTGGCTGTTGAAGGATGAGAAGACTTCATTATATGCTTATATTACTTATAATATGACCTTCCCTCTGTCTCCATGCAAAAACCCTGGGCACATATAAAGACTATATACATAACTACAAAGAATAACAGATAACCCTATCTATATTATTATATGTAGTATAAGTAACATGCTAGTATATTATATATTATTAATAACAGGATTACTGATAAGAGTAACATAATTAGCAATAATCTGGGGGCAGTGTTGTGGCACAGTGGTTTAATTCACCTCCTATGATGCTTGCATCCTATATGTGTGCCGGTTCATGTCCAGGCTGCCTCTACTTCCAACCCAGCTCCCTACTAATGCACCTGGGGGAGCAGCAGAAGAGGGCTAAAGTGCTTGGCTCTTGCACCCATGTGGGAGACCTGGAACTACCCCCTGGCTTAAGCCTGGACAGCCCTGGCCATTGTTTCCATTTGGGGAGTTTATCAGCAGATGGAAGATTCTCTCTCTCTCTCTCTCTCTCTCTCTCTCTCTGTAACTCTACCAAATAAATCAAAAAATTTTTTTGATTAACAATTAGTATTTTAAAATTATCTTGAACTTTTTTTAAAAAAGAAAAGAAATGATAATTATTCCCCTGACAATGATAAAAGCATGTTTAAATTCAAAAACAGGGGCCGATGCTGTGGCACAATACGCTAAACTGTCGCCTGTGGTGTGGGCATCCCATATGGGTTCTGGTTCTAGTCCCGGCTATTCCTCTTGCGATCCAGCTCTCTGCTATGGCCTGGGAAACAGTAAAAGATGGCCCCGAAGTCCTTGCGCCCCTGCAATTGCTCCTGGCTTCGGACCAGCCCAGCTCCAGCTATTGCAGCCATTTAGAGAGTGAACCAGCGGATGGAAGACCCTTCTCCCTGTTTCTCCCTCTCACTGCCTATAACTCTACCTCTCAAATAAATAAAAAAATTTTTTTTTTAAAATTCAAAAACAAAATTAAGTACCTGGAAGAAATACTGCAACCAAAAAAGAAGACTTCAGGAAGAGAAATATATACAGGGGCTTTGCATCTCATACACCATAGAATAACAAGTGATTAGAAAAATCTTTTATTTGTAAGTTTTACTTTTTACCATGTAAAAAGTATCTCTTAAATAGAATGCATACAAATATAGAAATAAAAGTTATTTTGCTCTAATCTATATGAATTCAAAACTCAATACTAACCATAAAGCACCTAAATGATATGAATAGTTTATGAAAGATGACTTATATACCAAATACATTATGAAGCTTTTCCAAAGGAGAATTTGCTATTTATCTAAAAAGAATTACCTAAAATACCAATTATCTTTGTTTTCCCCCATCTCTAACCTTTCCTAAATTACAAGTCTGAAGCCAATTTCTCCCTGGAAATATAAAT